TATTTTTAAAAAATTGATTTTATTTGTCTTTTTGGCAGCTGTCATTTTGGCTTTATCACATTGCAGCGTGTTTTAGGGGATCTTATCTCGTTTTTTAAGGTTTTGCTGTTTCCTTGAATGTTGGAAATTCTAAAGAAGTCAACTTTGGCGTGTTTTTCTTATATTGAATCATGACCATCCATTTAACCATACGGTGCTTTTCGAGGTGGTTCTTGATTATTTGGACGGCTTGGATGAAAATAGAGAAATCCAGCGATTCAAGGGGAAGATTGAAGAAGTCTGATTACACGTCTTTGACTTTGAATTTTCATGTTTTGGGCTTTGCCTTTGTCAAAGGAGCAACAATATTTTGGAGTGTGTTTGGTTTGCAAGAAAGTTGTTGAAAGAAAATCAAATTTGGTAAAGTAATTTTCTTGATTAAGTGTCAAAAATTTAGGCCAACTAGGTAGGAATTTTGGGGCTACCAAATATATATAAGTGTGAATTATACTAAAAAGGTAGGATTAGATTCCAAAAAGAAAAAGAAAATTTCATGTTAAAATTATTGAGTTAGTATAAGTAAATAATTTTTTAATTCAATTTTTACACATTAATCACTAATTTTTTTAATTTCATAAATAAGATTAAGTGAATGTTATTATCTATTAGTCTCATTTCTTTTCTTAATTATTTTTTATTTTTTTAATATACTCTATAAAGAGCAAGTGTTATTCTATTAGTTTTGCTTATAGAATTAAAAATTTTCGTTGTTAGCGGATGTGATAATTTTACTGATAATAAAATTTTTAGATTTCATAAACGAGATTAATAAGATGACAAATATTTTAGAATATATTAAAAAATAAAAAAATTAATTAAAAGAAAAAAGTGAGATATGTTTTGATATCTTAACTTCGCTTATGAATTTAAAAAATTTCGCTGGTAAAATATATAAAAAAAGAACTCAAATTTTATCTCTAATCTAGATTGCTCTCTTTAATTATGAAATTTATGTTGTTGAATATATCCCTTTGTGCATAGAAATAGCACTGCTAAATTTACAAAATTATAATGATTGATTTATAATATGCACACATATATTATAACAACTAAAAAAATAGTGTTAATTTGATCAAATTGTTGTTGAAAAGTCTATTTCTAAACAAATGGAGCCTTGCTACCCAAGAAAAATAAGAAATAAAAAGTAGCACCTTAGAAAAATAATGACATTAATATCAAATATATAAATATTTGTTTTATCTAATAAGTTGAGACACATTAAAGTATGATAGAAGCTTGATTATTTTCTCATTAATATTAAATTTAAAAATCAATTTTAAAGAATTTGAACAGATTATATATTAAGAGAAAGTATTATGGTTATATATATATATATATATATATATATATTGACAAAAGAACTTAAGAGTATAATTTAAGTAATAACAAATAGTGATAAATAATTATAACTTCAAAAAATAAAAAAGAAATTATACTAAAACTAAAAATTTTACATTTTATCAATAAATCACACGATTGTTATTATATTTGAATTCGATTCAATTCTTAATACGTAAGGCTCAAAATTAATCATTATAATAAGATAATTATTCTTTTCTAATTCACCATTAGACCACAACTGTTCCTCACATGGGAAACCCTTAATTCTTGGAATATCAAGAATTATAACTTTATTATATAGGATCTATGTCAAAAACTTAAAAAAAAAAATTTAAAAGAATTCAAATAAAAAATAATATCAAAATAATTATATATTAGAAGCTAGGATCCATAGTTATTGAGGTTGGCATTTATTTTTCTTGCGACATTCTAGGCTTTTGCCATCTAAATTATTAAAACATGAAGGAACATGTGATTTTATAGTCCAAGTTGTTATGGCCACCCCTAGTCTTAGCATACAAAATGTTACATGTGAAATTGCATGTGAGACCCATCCATGCATTTTTCAATAATTATTATTATTATTTTTAAAAAGTAGAATTTTGAAGATATATAGAAAAAGGAGTTATAAGTATTGGAATTTGAATTTCAAATTTATTGAATGCCAATTTTTTTAAAATGAATGTATGAATTAACTAAGTTAAAATTTGAGTTTATTAATCAATTTCTTTAATGATATTGGAAAATTTCGAAACTAACAAAGCAAAACCAAATCTTAAATTGTATGTTTTCACTCTTCTTAAAAATATTGAAATTTAACTTTTAAAAATATTTAGTTTACAGATTCTTAGATTTCAAAGAAAAGTGATATGGAAGGATAATATGTAATTCATTGTTTTTGTTGACGTTAAGGAATGTAATATTTTTGTATTTGATTAAAAAAATGTAAAATTATTTAATAATATCTTTTACTCTATTACTTTTGATGATACGTGAATAACTTGTAATATTCATATTATTTAACACTTGAATAATGTGTGATTAAAAAAGTGATTTATTTAAATTTTTATTTATTTAACATGTAAATTGTTCATTTGATATTTTTAATAAATTGTTTTTGTAAAAGTGTTTTAGATTTTATTGTACATGTAATATATGTAATAATAAATTTTATATATAATATTAAAATTTTATTATAATATAAAATTTTTTTCATATTTCAACAAATACTAAATTTTTAATCTTAAAATGTTGTTTTTATTGAAATTTAAGAATTCTAATTTTTTTATATTTTCAATAAAAATAGTATTTATTAATATTTTAAGATTAAATAAAAAGTAGCACATAAAATTACAACATTTCTAAAAAATACCATTATTTTTTAACATGGCAATTAAGTGAGGATAAATGGGATAAAAATTTTATTTTCTCTTCGAAATCTAGATGAGTGTTTTTTTTTCTACTACCTTTGACATTGTTTGGATTTTAATATTCTTGACATAAAAAAAGTTTTTAAACTAAACCAAAAATAATCAAATAATGAAAAGTTAGATTTCCAAAAAAAAAAAAAAAAATTTAGAATCCGTGATCTGAACGTTCTCTCAAAGTAAACAACTACGTGGAAATTTCAATTTAAGGCAAAGTAAAAACTTTAATATATCATAAAAATAATGTGAGTTTCATATATATCCTTATTTGCCATTTAGGGAAATTTTCTAATTTTGACTTAAAATATTGAATCAAATTCATGAATTACAACACTTTAATGGCAGTTCATTCTAAAAATGTCTAACCCAATCGTCACGTAAAAGTTGGAATAGAGACCAAAACTCAAATGTGTTGAGAATCACATGATGATAGGGAAGCATTTTTAATTTTTACAAAGATATAAAATTTTTTAATTTAAAGTCTAATTCATTTATTTAACACAATTATCTTTAAAAATTAATATTTGACATATTTAAAATTTAATTTTCAATATCTATAATTTTTTTTCCATTTCAAACTACAATCTTTTATATATATATATATATAAAACTCTTTCCAAGTCTTTGAATCAACAAAAGAATACCAAGTCAATCTTTTTTTGATATTTTTGACAAGTCTTATTTAAGCAGAGAAAGAATTAATTTTTTTTTTATTTGGGTAAGTTAGAGAAATAAAATATTGTATTTAGATATTATTAAGTAATTGTTTTACCAACCAATCCCAAAAAAAATTAAATGAAAATTTCATTATAACTAAAAAAAAAAAAAAGCAAATCAGATGAAAAATTTTATACTACATAAGCTGAGACCTTCTTAAGAAGTTGCAAACAAGTTACTCACTCAATTCCAATTATATTAATTAAAGAAATGACAAAGTCAAAGATTTGCAAATGCTATTATTTTATAGAAGATTAAAGAATTTATTTTGGATATGAAAATACTAGTGTTTTATTTGGTTGCACTTAGCTATTAATTTCAACTAATCTTATCAAAATAAAATAATATCTTAGCTATTAATTTCAACTAATCTTATCAAAATAAAATAATTTTTTTATTTTTTATTTTTTAGGTTATGATCGGAGTTCCAACAACCGGCCTTCAATTTTGAGAGTCGACTCCAATAACATTAAACCAACAACTCATTTGACTATGATTACATATATTTCGATATTTATTTAAACGAAATTCGGATATTCGTTTGATTAGATCCCTCTCAACCTTCATGGTGAGTCACTTTCTGCAAATCACAGTGGCTAAAGCTTAGTGTCCCACCTCACATGGAAGCCCCATAGTTCCCATATGCGTTGTTTACAGGTCAAAATTGGTCTATTGCCTTCCTCAAGAGGGCAACTGTGGCTATAAAGGCACAATGTACTGCAAACAAAATGGGAGCAAACTACTGAAATTTAGGCTTATTATTTTGCATAGTCCGGTCATTGGATTGAGTAAAATTTGTTTTTTTTTTTTTTAAATTTTTTGGTGTTTGATAATTATTTTGAATTTCGATTAATTTAAAATCGAATCGAATCTTATAAAAAAATAAACTCTTTCAAATTTTTTTTTTCATTCATAAAATTCAAAACTAATATCTTATTTAAAAAAAAATTAAATTTCTTATCACCGAGACTAATATGCGTTGATTTTATTTTTTTAAATATCGATTATAATCTATTTTTTTATCAAAAACTTTTAAAAGTTTATATTACGAATGATCATATGTCCATTTTTTTTTTTTTTTGGGTTACAATCTATTTCAAGAAAAAAATAGTGTAAAGCACTCATTATACATGAGATCCAAAAAAATATTTATTGAATATAATTTTTTTTTTTCATTTCTTACAAAAGACTGTTTAACAAATCACACAAATTATATATGAATGTTATAACAAATCTCTTTAAATTTTTCTAAGTTTCTATTTTAATCTATCATTACTTGACCTTATTCGACCTCATTATCTACAATATAATTTTTAAATTATTTTAAATATTAAAATTTAATTTTTAAATAATTACTATCTCTATTTTATTATTAAATATTCTAATAAAAAAGTGAACCTTGATGTCATATTTTTTTGGGTTGGGCTTGGCCCATGAATAATTCTACTTTAATTGAATAAAAGAACAGAAAAAAAAAATCAATTTCTGATATTTATTTGTTAGGGATTTTTTGTTGGTTTATTTTCGTTTTTCACGTTTTAGTTAATCTCTTAAAAGTGAAAAGAATGTCATCGGAAAATATTTCGACGATGGCAATGTCATCGGAAAATCTTTCGACGACGCCATCGCTGAGAACAATAGAATCGGCGATCAATCTCATAGATGTCAAAAAGGAGGAACTCAAGAAAGCGTTCGATCATCTCCAAGCCAACTATTTGCACCTCTGTTCTTTCTCTATCTCTTGGTCCGACCTCGACTCTCACTTCACCGCAATCCAAAACTCGGTAACTCAGCGGTTCCGTCTCCTCGAGTCGCACGAGTCCGTTCACCACCCAGTTGATGCCGTCCCCATTTCGGAGCTCACTCCGTGCTCAACTCAACCACTCTCGTCAAAAGAGGGAGACCCATGTGTTCAGAAACCATCATCTAGACAGGACCGGGTAGACTCAGCCGCTGAGTCGCTGGTGAATCGGCCGTTGATTCAGCTTGTACCATTAAATGGTGAGCAACCATCGTCGTCAAATTCGGTGGGACTGCAGTCTGATGGTTCGGCTCCGGCATCCGGCGGTGTTGACTCGGTGGTGACTCGGCCGGAGCTGAAGGAGTTCTGTGAGAGAATGGATGGGAAGGGGTTGAGGAAGTACATAAATGACCATGTAAACGAGCGCGAAGCTATCCGAATGGAGCTTCCAGGTGCTCTAAAGACTGCTATGGATCCTGGGGCAATGGTTCTGGATGCAATGGAGGGCTTTTATGCAGAGAATTCTCAGTCTAAAGGCAATAAAGACCCAGAATTGTTCAGTTTAAGGTGGGTTTGCGTGTTTTTGTTGGAGCAGTTGATGGAAACTGGTCTAAGGTTTAGTGATGAAGTGAAGGAGAGAGCAAAAAAGTTAGCTTTAGAGTGGAAAGGCAAGGTCAAGTTGAGAAAAAATAACTTTTTGGAGACATTGGCGTTTTTGCATTTAGTGGTAACTTATAGTTTGGGAGCTGTGGTTGATAAAGAGGAGCTTGTTGGATACTTTTTTATCATCGCTAGACACCGGCAAGCTACAATGTTGAGTAGGTCAATTGGCTTAGGAGAGAAAGTTCATGGTGAGATTGGTGTTATGCTAGTTTTCCAATGTTTTTATGTCCATTTAAATTTCTTTCATTTTGGGTTATGGCTGATGAGTTTTATCATGAATGCTTGATTTAGATTATTGTGTGATAGAGTTTTGAGAATTAAAGTTTTCATGTATGGATTGATATGTCAATAAGTCTAGCTGTTAAAGGTATGTGATTCATGGTCATGCTATTGGTGTCTTGGTTGAATGTGATTCTTGATACCTGCACTTAGATTTATTTGATTTTATAGTTGGTGTTTGTGCTCCCTTTTTTCAACTTTTTAATGTGCATTTAAAGTTCTTGTATTGGATACAATAAAAAAAGTTCTTTTATGAGGTAATTTGCCTCATATAAGAGCATGGTCAGATGAGCGTCAGTTATCTAATTTCTGTATCTTATTGGAAACATAAATCCACTGTAATTTGACTCAATTAAATGCCTGAAATCCTGGGGGGCTTTATGATCCTCTGTGATGCTCATGTTGGATGACTGATGCTTTGAATTTTGATGTAATTGCTTACCTGGGAAATGAAGATACTTTTTTTTTGCTATATTAAAATGAAATTTAGAGCTTACTTTGAGCAAGAAAATTTAGATAGGAGACTTACCTTGATTAAAAGGTTTATGGTAATGGCTTACTCTGGTTGTCACTAACAAGATACGAGTGAAACACATAAGCATGATGACTTCCCAAAAAACCAAAAAAAAATAAAATCATGGATTAAAAAGAAATGAGAAAAACATGAGAGACCTTTTTCTTGCATCAAATCAAATGTGTGCACATATAATATGTAGCATATTGTTTTCTCATTTAAAGAATCAGCCCAAGTTGTAATTCAGGGTCACTGATTGTTTATTTCAGGCATATAATTTGCATAATTTTGTACTCCTTTTGAGATTTTGAATTCTCTCCCTCATGCCTGTATTGATCTTGTAGTTTTAGGAGTAGCTTCTGATGCCTATTTTATGTGTTGCAGATTTGATTAAAAAACTGTTAGATAGTGGCAAACAACTACTTGCTGTGAAATTTGTATTTGAATTTGGGCTAGCAGAAAAATACCCACCAGTCCCTCTTTTGGAAGACTATCTGAAGGAGACCCAGAAGCTTGCTAAGCAAGTTTGCAAGGATGGAAAGAACCATCTTAGGTCACAGGTAAACTTTCATTTCCTGCCAACTTTTCAGGGTATGATAATCTAGCATTCAATTTTTTTTTTTTTTTAATTACATTTCCTCATGCAGAATGAGGCCACAGCCAGAGAAATTGCTGCCTTGAAAGCTGTAATTAAAGTAATTGAACAGCACAAGCTAGAAACTGAGTATTCACAGGAGAGCCTTCTGAAGCGTATTGAGCAGCTCGAGAAGCAGCAGGCTGACAGGAAACACCCTGTGACAGCTGCCGCTGCCAAGCCTCAGCAGCAGCAGGCAGACAGGAAACACCCTGCAACAGCTCCCACTGCCAAGCCTCAGCAACAGCAGCAGCAGCAGCCAAGTCAGCAGGTCATTCAGCAGGGAAAGAAGAAGAAGAAACAGGCACAGGGAAAGCAGCAGCAGAGTAGCAACAAGCGCCCTAAAACAACTGCATCTGTTGTTCGTATGGCACCCTCATTGGGAGTTGCTGGTTCAAGTTCAGCTGTTCCCCCATTCCAGCAATCTCATCTGCAGCAAGGAGGTTTAATGCAAGACCGTTCTGCTCCATATTTGAGCTTGCCAGCCGGTTCTTATGGCTTGGCAGGCTCCACTCCAGTTAATCCTTATGTAGGCTCGTCAGCTGCGACTGCATTATATGGTTTGGCAGGAGCCCTTATGGGTTTCTCTGTGAATCCAAACCCTGCTGCATCCCATTTATATTCTTATGACAGACCTACTTATGGTGCATATGGTTTACCACCACAATACCACCCATCTTACCATCCACAGTAGCTGTTGTTACTGTTTTGTTGTTGCCTGTGGTATGCTTTTGGATACAGTGCTTGTTGGAAAGCACGCGTGTTTCTTGATAACTGGATTATATTGCGTAAACCAAATTCGGTAACTGACTTTTGTTGACAGATCGAGGCTAAATAGTATTTTATCTAATTTGCTAATTGACCCAAAGATTTATGTAAATTATGATTGTTTTTTTTATGAGATGTTATTAATTTCCATTGTAGAAGGTCATTCTTTCTTTTATTCAATCCTTCAGCCTTCCCTTGCATGGTATGATTGCAGTTTCCTGCAATATTTGTTAGGGAGACTGGATATCACCAGCCTATCCCAACAGGTAATGGTTTACAACTCTTACAGGAGCAGAGTTTTCGATGCTATGTTCTTCTAGATGACTTGTATTATTTTTAAATGAAGCATAACTGTAACTTTTTTTTTTTTTATCTTCATGTTACGGTATTCAAAGATAATTGAATATTATAATGATAAGATTAAAATTAATGATAAATAACAATCAAAATTTTCATTTTTACACTTAGACAAAATCGACTGTCCTACGATTTTATTGTTCACATGATTCTTTTTTCCTCCGACCATAAGTTGACCCGTCGGAGGTTTTTTTTTTTCCTTTTTATCTTTGTAACTACAGTTTTTGCATCCTTGATTTTTTGTCGAAATTAATGCTCTAGAACTGGTATTCAATGAGTGGCATCTCTATATGGTAATGTCTGATAGCTGGTCGTTTGCTCATCATGGGGTTAAAGCTAGTAGGCTTTTTATATAGTTGTACGTGGTTAAAATTGTCGAAGCCAATCTGAATTTGAGTGAATAAGTGAAAGGGGTTTGATTGTTAAAGTGATTGTGATGTCCCTTTCTTTTGTACCATTATTATTTTTATCCTTTGCTCCATGGCAGTCTCTGAGATGCCGACACAATCACAAAAAGCTCATTCATGAAATTTGCTTTGCCGAAAACAGTTCTAAGGAAAGTGACACTGGCTATTCTTTGAAGAGATTATTTGATAATTTAAAATATAATATAATAATATGATATAAATATGATATAAATGATATAATTTAAAATTTTAATAATAATTATATATAAATTTTAAAAATATATATTTTATATTTTTATATCGATTCGAATTATGACATGTAATTTTATATAAAATATAATATAAATATATAAATTTTAATATTTTATATAATACAAATATATAAATCGTAAAATTTACCTTTCAAAGCTTGTCTCATTTTGCGATTCATATCAAACACATTGTTTAATGCTAACGGTATGTAAAAATCGGCATTAGTTTGATTACTGTATTGTGTAATTCTTTTACCCTAAAGCATTTATCAGAATATATAGGATTTTTGTAGATCTAAGGAATTTTAAATATGATGCGAAAATATGACATTAAAATAATATAAAAATATATAAAAATGATATAATTTTAAAATTTAATAAAAATCATATAAAAATTTAATAAAAAAATTTATTTTTGATATATTAACATAAATTATAATAATAATTTTTATATTTTATATATATTTGATATAAAATAAATATATGAATTTTACAATAACTTTTTAATAATATATCCAATCTCACTTATTTTAATTTTATTATTATAATAATTAATTTCATTACTATCAATATTTTTAATTTCATCATTCATTAGCGTGAAATAGCGTTTTCACCTTTTAAAAGTGTCGTTGTGGCACTAGATCCAATCTTTAGCTTTGGTAAGACATTTGCTTGTGAAAGCACCCAAAGCTAAAAATTGCAAAAAGTTTTAAGTGGCAAATGGACTATGAAACATAGCCTAACAATACCTTTATATGTATATGTTTTACTAAAATTTCTTTGTCCCATTGTACAATGTTTCAAGCTACATTAACGCATGTTTAAATGAAGTTTGTTAGTACTTATAATGTTTATTTTTAAACCTTTTTGAACAATGTCAACAAGTGCTTGCTTTGGTCCCATGATCATTATTATGTGTCCTTTATCATGTTTATAGGAATGTTTTATTGTGTAGAAGAAATGTGTCTTCTCATAGATTTTCATTTTTCCAACTTTGGGCTAAAAAAAAATTGTTGTTTTGCTTATGATTGATCATCTAAGAGCCTAATACAAGTAATTAAAAAAAAGTTAATTAGGTTTATAGTTCGAATTTTAACATTTATAATCTACATATTTTTTAAAAAATAATCCCTTATCTCAATTTTAATAATCACGTTTTTTAAATCTTAAAAAGATTGAAGGTTAATTTGGGTTATAAAAAATTATTTATAAGTATTTGTTTTCTTAGTCATAATGTCTCTAGTTGTCTTTTCTCGTATTTTTATTTATTTTTAAATTATGATTTTTTATATAAAAAAAATATCATATCTCTAATTTTAGAAGGGTTTTATATTGAATTACAAAGCTTAAGAAAAATGTAAAATAAAACAAAACCTTAATGGAGCAAATTAGATCTTTGTTAGAGTTGGTGGTGGTTAATGAAGTGAATCAATTGATTATAATTTTTGTTAGATTTTATAATTTAAAATACGATATAATAATATAATATAACTATGATATAAAAATAAAATATGAAAATAATATAATTTAAAATTTTTACAATAACTATATATAAATTTAATAAAATTAAAAAATATATTTCATATTTTTATGTCGATATATATTATGATATGTAATTTTTATATAAAATACGATATAAATATATAGATTTTAATATTTTGTACGATACAAATATACAAATTATTATATCTAATTTTTGTTATCACTTTTTTTACTTTCTATACTTTCCTATATTTCCTATATTTGGGTGGAGCAGATAATGGAGAAGAGCTTAACATTTTGAGCTTGGGACATGAATATTTGTGAAGTAAATTTCCAATCAATAAACCACCTTTAATATTCTATTGAAAATGGTAAGTAAAGCAAAATTTTTCCGTTTTCCTTTTTCTCATACCAACTATAGTACAAATATATATGAATCAAAATCCAAATTCACATGTACATAATAAGTAAGGCCTCATTTGAATTCTCCAACATTCTAACTGTGATGGAATTTAGTCAAAAAGTTGGCCTCAATTGCATGTTGAAGTGCGTTTGAATTAGATATGTGAATTGGTAAGATATTGTAAGAGTAGATATTTTTTATTTTTATTATTAAATTTTTACATTATACTTATTTTTGTACCTATATTCAATAAATATTTTAAATTTATCTTTATTCTTATCCGATGAATATTTAAAGGATATGGATAATCATCATATCTATAATTAAAAAAAAAACTAAAAACTAAAATTTATTTTTTTAATTTTATTTCGTATATTTAAATATTTTATAAAATGTATTAATATATTTTTTTAATTAAAAATATATTAATTTTAATTAATTTAAAATAATAATATATTATTTAATAAAAATTTATTTATTAAAAATATATAGAATATAATATAAGATATAAATACATGACAGGTATTATATTATTTATCTTAATTTTTATATCTAATAAAAATTTAAAATTATATCTATTTTTATACTCATAATGTAATGTCTATTTCTATCTCCATTAAGATAAAAAATCAGACTCTATATTATATAGGAATAAAATTAATATCCCTAATTTATATAACATTTTGAGTGCAATTGAAATCATTATGTGGATTAAGTAGAGATTAAAAGGAAAAGATTAAGCGATTCATTGATTTTTAAGACAGTTGGTTTTTTTTTTTTTAAAATATTCGATCATTTTTAGTATAAAATTAAAAAAAGGAGATATATTTTTTAATTATAATAATTTATTTTTTTCTATGAACATTCAATTTTTTATTTTTAGATTTAGTAATTGATTATCTTTAAACGAAAAATTTATTATCATACTCAATTTTATAATTATTGTTACGTTTACATTTATATATATATATATTTAAAATTAATTTTAATCTTATTATTATAATAAATAATTTCATCATAATTATTATTTTTAATTTTATCAAAATTAATTTTATTATCTATTTAAATAACTTTAAAATATATATTACACCTAAATTTTACGAGCAAAACACAACCAAAGGTTTTTTTTTTTTTTTTTAATTAAAAAAAAGTGGAGAAAGCAAAAGTATGATCCTTGTAGATAATAACAATGATTGCATTGACAAAATGGGTTACCTTTTGAATTTTTATCCACCTTTCAAAGTAAAACAAAAAAAAAAAAAATAGAAAAATAAAAATCAATTATTAAAAGCTTAAATAAAATTTAAATTAAAAAAAAATGACAAGCCAAGACAATGAGACAAGCCCCAGACCCCAGATCCAATGTAACAGGTCAAACTCTGTCCCTCTCTTCTTCTTACGTAAACGAGAATCAATACTCGAATTTTGTTAAGATAAAATTTAAATTTAAATTAATTATAATTATATTGAATTTAAATAATTTGATTTATTGAATGAATTGAGTTAAAATATTTTAATATTTTATTTAAATAATTTGTAAATTTAATAAAAATTTAAATTTAATATAATTTTATTATTTTAATTAAAATTTATTATTTTATTTATATGTGTTAATTCAAATTTAAATTCATATTTAAATATATAATTAAATTTAAAATTAAATAAAATAATCAAACTTATTTTTATTAAATAAATTTAACTAATTTAATTTTACATTAAATTAAAATTGAATTTAAAAATTAAAATTGAATCAAACTTAAATTAAATTTCAACAATAAATTTTTAATTATATCTATTCGCCGGTACACTCAACTCTCTCCCGACATTATTTATTTATTTTTTAATTTAATTTAATTTAAGACAACCCAAAAAACAAAATTAAAACAATGAAAAACATTTTAATCTGAATTTACTTATATACCCCTCCACCATTTTTCTGACGGAAATAAAAAATAACTCCATTTTGATTCTCTTCTCTTACTGTCTTGTCTTCTGTTAGTTCTTTTGGTAATGGTAATGGAGGAACAAACATTAGCTTCTTCTTCTTCAGGTGCTGCTGTGACTACTCAGCACGATCTATCGGGTTTGGTTGGTTCTGGTGGAGCTCTGTACAAGATGGTGGCTCCGGCTAAGCTACCGATCTCAAGGTCGGCTTGTATTACCATCCCACCTGGGCTTAGTCCTTCTTCTTTCTTGGAGTCTCCTGTTCTTCTTTCAGATGTTAAGGTTAGAGCTTTTTTTAAAAAGTTTTTTGGGGTTGGATCGGTTTTGGGTTATGTTTGTTTCCTGAGAAAATAGAGGAAAGTTGGCTACTTCTTGACAATTCACTGGTGAAATTGAATTCTTTTCTTTTTTAAGATAAGCCCCAAAATTTTTTTGATTGACTGAAGAATCTAGCAATGTGAGGTTCAAAGCTTTGATTTTTATTTCTTTCATAGGAGCTTTTGGTGGGGAATTTTTCTTTTTCTTTTTCTTTTCTTTTTGGTTTGGTTGGCTAGGATTTTGAATGATGTGATTGGATTTAATTTTCAGCTAAAGAGATGCTTAAGGGAAAAAAAAAAAAAAGGTTACTATATTTGTTTGCTTTTATTTTTGGATTCTTTAAAATGCTTGATTTTAAATTTGAAGCGGTTCATGATGTTTAGGGCCTTAAAGAAAAAAGATTCTGACGCCTGGTTATTGGAATTACTAGATAAATTATGAAATATGGCCTCTTAGTGTCCATGGATTTGTATATTGTAGAAGTGAGGAATAAGGCTTTTCTAATTTTTTTTAGTTTGTTGTAAATATAAAATCTTGATTTTTTTTTTATATTTTTATATTTATTTTAATGCTAATGTTGTTTTTCCACATAATGAATCTTCCACTTGTGATTGTGGGAATTGTGGCCTTTTATAATTTTTGGTGTATGTTCTTGTTTTAACGGTGAGGACGAATTAGGGAGCTGTCCAATTTGTGCAATGTAGAATATGGAACAGATGCTAGTTGTGAGGTGGAGTGGATCGATGGATTGATGCTTCTTTAAAGGCATTTGTTTGATTTAGATCAAAGGATGGATGTTTGTTTAATGCGTGGTGCAACGAGGTAATGGAAAGTGGAAAGTTAGTGGGTCAAGGTGAAGCAAAGAGACGTCATTTCCTGTGATTTAATGGAGGATATGACATTACATAGAGTTGAATTTGCAAAAGGGATGTGGGTGGTGAAGCATAAGGAGTTGAGTAGGAGGTTCTACAGACTTGTTTTCCATATCAAGTGTAGGGTTAACTTGAAGTACATAAATATTTATTGAATGGATTTTGCTTTTACTCTCCTTTAGTTGGTTTGTTTGGGAATCTTCTGCTTTCCACCTCATTATTTTAAGTTATTTTTGGCATTAAATAGACCTGATAGAATTAGTTTGTTTAATCACTAGCTGAGTTTGAACTTTATTTACGTTTTCATGCTGATGAGAATAATAGCTGGAAGTTTACCAGTTGTTGCTTGACATTGAATGCAAGCGGAGCAGTTTTTTGTAGAACTATACTGAGAGTAATTTGTTGTTTTTCTTCTTGTTCTTCCAGGCGGAGCCTTCTCCAACTACTGGTTCTCTCATTAAATGTCAAGCAGTGCACGCCTCTGTTGCTTCTAGTACATATTCGGCAACTGATATGTGTTCTATCGCATTTGATGAAAGAAATCCCAGCTGCTTTGAGTTTAGACCCCATCCTAGATCAAATATGGTAATTTCCTTATAAATGTTAATGAAAATTTTGAGATTGAAATTTAAATAATATTTTCCTTTTCTGTTTCTTTTGCCCCTTTGAGCTACTGTTGTTAATGTACAATCATTTTATATTTCACTACAGCCATAGTTATATGATTCGATTATCATCTAGAATCCTGATTTCATGTGAATACACTTCTGCATCAATTTCTACTCTGCCATAAACCCTGCAATAGGTAGCTTATGTATTACGTAACCAGTAGAGGCATCGTGCCAGAGGACCTCATAGGCACATCTAAACTTAGCAACCTGCTCTTTCTTCTGTCTCTCTATAAATTATTCAATACTGACATTCTTATCTAACTGATTTATGTTCTGCTGGTTGAAAGATATAGTTGTCTAAAGGTTTTTGCTTTGTCAAGGCTCCTGCAGATTTTAACCATCAAAGAAGTGAACAATCTCTGAAGATCCAAGGTCAATACCAGACTATATCATTCAATTCATCAGCTTCAGTTAAGAAAGAGATGGCAGGCTCCTCAAATGAGTTGAGTCTCTCAGTACCTGTTCATGCAGCTACTTCTATGGCTAGTGCTGCTGCTGAAGTTGATGTAGATGAATTAAACCAGACAGGGAACCCAAATAGTGGGATACAGTTAGGGCAGTCTGATCATGGAGGAGGTGGTCCATCGGTGCCATCTGATGATGGATACAACTGGAGAAAGTATGGACAGAAACATGTTAAAGGAAGTGAATTTCCACGCAGTTATTACAAATGTACACATCCAAATTGTGAAGTCAAAAAGCTGTTCGAGCGATCTCATGATGGACTGATTACAGAGATAATATACAAAGGTACACACGATCATCCTAAACCTCAACCAAGCCGCCGATGTTCTTTGGGTAATATCATGTCTGGCCAAGAAGAAAGATCCGACAAGGTCTCATCTATGACTGGTAGAGATGGTAAGGAAAAAAAAAACTACAAATTCAGTTTTGTTAAGCACATTTTTACTTATGAATTAATCCTTTCTTTTCCCCATTTTAGACAAGCCTTCCAGCATGTATGGCCAGATGGCTCATAGTATTGAGCCAAATAGTACTGCAGATGTAACTTCTGTCACAGCTAATGATGATAATGTAGATGAGGTTGACGATGATGATCCATTCTCCAAGCGAAGGTATTGTTATTGTTCAATAGAGGCTTTAACTTTTTCCTCCCTGGTTTTGTCTGCTTGCTAAGTGATGTTATCAAACTATGAGCAGGAAAATGGATGGTGGGGTTGATATCACGCCTGTGGTGAAGCCAATCCGGGAACCACGCGTTGTTGTTCAGACTCTGAGTGAAGTTGACATACTGGATGATGGATATCGATGGCGCAAATATGGGCAAAAAGTAGTGAGAGGAAATCCTAATCCTAGGTACATATCATTAAATCAATGATGATTGAATTAGAATGTTGTAAATTACGAGTCATATCTTTTAATAAGCTCATCCATTTCAACATATAGCTTTTTAAACACTATATTGTTGGGCATAAAACTCCATTGGAAGCATGTTGATTTTTGTGCTTTTCATAAATTAGGATAGTTTGTAGGATCTTCCATTCGGTTTATGTCAAGCATTATTTGTGTTTGTTGTTTTGCATATAGATTTGTTGCATGCAAACTTCAATGCACATACTTTGGTATGGTATGTGCATAACTACTCATGACCATAGTTTTATTATTTTGTTTTATTATGGTTTTTTTCATTATTTTATGATGTCCTATTTTCTGCTTACTTTTTATGTAGGAGTTATTATAAGTGCACAAATGCTGGTTGCCCTGTTAGAAAACACGTTGAGAGGGCATCTCATGATCCAAAAGCTGTTATAACAACGTATGAGGGAAAACACAATCATGATGTACCTACTGCAAGGACCAGTAGTCATGATACAGCAGGAGCAGTAGCTATGAGTGGGCCATCAAGGATTAGATCAGAAGAAAATGATGCCGTTAGCCTTGATCTTGGAGTTGGGATTAGGTCTGCTCCTGAAAATAGTTCGAATGACCATCAGCAATTGCATTCTGAGCTGGTGCAAAGCCATGGTGGTTCTAGTTTCAAATTGGTTCAAGCAACTCCAATGACAGCATATTATGGTGTTCTAAATGGTGGCATGAGTCAGTACATATCTAGAGAAAATCCAAGTGAAAGTCGAGTTGAAATTACACCCCTAAATCATTCTTATGCATTTCCAAGGAGCATGGGGAAGATACTAACAGGTCCATGAATCTGTTAACAATGAAGGTGACAAGAAATAAAACATGGACAGGATTTCTCTTTTCCAACTTTTTTGGCTGGTAAAAGAAAAGGTTAGAGCCGTGTTCCGAATAATATGGAATTTTCTCTCTCTCTCTCTCTCTATATATATATATATAAATCAGTTTACTATTTGAGCTGATCTTGTTAACTGGACTACAAACTGCCTTTCGTTGCCAATCACTGTTTGTATTAACTTCAGAGTTTGTACAAACGTGGAACTGATACATGTATTATTTTCTTACAGGAAACTGTTGTAAAACATGCTCTTGAAATGGAATTTGTTATAATATATGTTTTCCATCTTGTCTCAGCTTCTTAGAGAACTTTCTGATTAGTATAGTCAGTGACAGATCCAAGATTTTTCAGGATTTTTTTTTCGGAAGTGTCTACTTATAATTTATATAAAAAACTGTTGATGAATTTATCAATTTTGTTTACGGAAAAACAATTTTCACGGGAAAAATTTTGAGGGTGTTTACGGAACCATAAACCCTGTAGTAAAAAGGTGGATCCGGCCCGAGTATAGTGTATACCTGTATTTTTCTTGACCATTGCCTCTCAGATAATGTGCCTCAAATCAAAGTTTTGCTTACACGTTTTGATGAATGATTCTCATACATTATGTAAAAAAATGATTGCTAGAGGCTTGTTTGAGAACTTGAGATGAGCAAGTGATTGACCAAACGTGAAGAATCCAAGTTCAAGAAGATTGACCTTTGTTGTCCAGATTGTTGATTCAAGGGAGAGATTCAATTTGCGGACAACTTGTTCCTGTTGCTTGGATACAAAAGGACAAAACAAGCTATAATTTCTCGTTTGGGGATGCATCAGCCACTTGTTTTTGGTGCATGTGAATTGTGAACCATTCTGGAAAGAACATTTTATAACAAAATAAAATAAAAAAAAACATATTTAATACTTTTCACATTTTGTAATCTGCTAGTCTTTATGTGAGTGTCTAGATGACCTTTTTATCCCTTCACAACCAGAGTTACCCTAATGCCACAATGGAAGATCAAAGGGTCCTGAGAAAAGCCTATGAGCAACATAAGAGACATCCAAGAAGCATGGTAGATGGAAAGGAGCTGTTACTATTTTATAGCACTACAATGGCCTGCTGCAACAGAAAACTGAAGCAAGTGCCCGAGCTTTTTGTAAAGATACCAGTTGTGAAGCCTGCAGATAATTCATTCAAGATTCTGCCATGGAATTTACCATGAAAAATGGGATTAGATTGAGTACAGCACTGCATGGTTTCTTTCAAGTTAAAGAAGCTAAAGATCTCCGTAATAGTTTGCAAGGTTATTGCTGGGAGGATTGCCAATACCATTGATGGGGTATCCGAGAAGTGTCACTTGATTTGACTTGAAAGACCTCAGTTCAACTTAGAACGTCTGATTGAACAAAATTCCCGTGCTATCTTCCCTGTTTTGTCATAGTTTTCAATTGAAATGTGAACATTTTCAGCCAAATGGACCCACATGGAAAACAAGTATGATTGAGTGATAAGTCCACTAATGTAAACACACTAGAGTGGAAAACGCGTATGCAAAGACAAGCTGCAATACTAAAAGTTAACCACTAGCATTCAATTGTACAAAGGCCTTGTTCATAGCATTCCTGAAAAGGATGTTCTTATCAAACAAAAGCTAATCTTCAGAAGATCTGATGTGTATGCCATAAAGGAAAAAGGAAAAGAAACGTTTTCAAATGAAGGTTCTATCGACACTGTGATAGCAGCTATTGTTTGGTTATTATCTCCATGCACAAGAAGTGACTATAGGTCGATTCATCCAGCCAAGATAAAGAACTCCATCTTTCTCTTCGAGTGTATACTTATCATAATAGCTTTGCAGCAGAGCTTTGATGGTGGCGTTGACAAATGAGCTTAATGGACAGGGTGTAAAGCCGGCCATAATAAACCTTGATCTCCACTTGCCCATAAATTCATGACGTTCTACTCTCTCAGGCCCTTCACATGCTATAATGTTGACAATCTCCCGGGCCAGACAGTGCTGTTCGACATTGATCCGCTCCTTGTGCTCTCTTGGCAGACTAACATCAATTGATTCAAAGATAGCCAAATAATAATTCAATGTCTCTAGGAAACGGGGAAAGAACGGGGCAGTATTCGTATTCGCTTCTTGCTCCATAACTGTCACCACCTTCGGAGACAAACTCTTCACCATCCTCAACAGCCTGTCCCGATGATTCTGAGTGCTCACACTTTCATCTGGCATGTGGTGCAGGATCATGGGAAAATTCACAGCAATGGCTTCACCAGGTTGAATTCCAAGGTTTTCTGGTTGAACATCCGTACCATAAATAGCAGCAGCATGAAACTCAAAGGGTACGTTACATGACTCAGCAAGCTTGCTTAGTCTCTGCCCCACTATTTGAAGTCCTCCTCCTCTGGCATAAGCCGATGAAGGATCATCAATGCCTGTAATACGAATGCTTGGCGGTCCTCCTGGTCGAGCAGCAAGAGCATGGATTAGGGTCAACCATTGGCCTCCTTGTGAAATCTGAAAATCAATTATATGGACTCTATTTTCGTCTTTCATGGCATCAGCAATTGCCCCATTTGCTGACATATACCCAAACTTGAAATAAGGGCAGATTTCATAGAGAATGTGCATGTATGAAAGCAGTTCAGCACTGGCAGGCTCTTTGCATTTTAGGGATTTGTAGATAGAACTTCCAGAAGAGGCCAACCTTGCAACAAGCCCTTCCAACATATAGGCTCCTAAACGTTGTATTGGTTCACCCGAAACCGACACCATTTGACGTAATTGTGTCATCAAGCAGTCAGCCGTATTCATATCATTATTTTCTATAGCTTTAGCACAAACACAAAGCAGTTCTTTCAGGTCCCCTCTGGCGATCATCTGATCCATCATGTATTTCCACCTCCCTGCTTCTATGGAGACTCCAGTCGCTCCACCAGATGCAGTGATAGCATGAATGCCAAAATTTTCTGATTCAGTTCCTAGCAAAGCAGTTTCCAATTGTCTTATCATGTGCCTCAAGTCATGCTCATTATCTGTTACACAAGAACCACTTACTGGTGAACCACTTGTATTGTCTGGGTAATGATGCAGGTCTGATGGGTACGAGTAGTTTGGCTGTGAAACAGGACTGCCATTGGGTGAGAAACTGGCTGTAGAAGAAGAATTCTGCATACCAGACAATGATTCAAGGGTGCAGTATTGTTCCAAATTTTGAACTGAATGGTGCACACCATTGCTGCCATCATCAGAGCATGACTGGTACAGATCTAAGCTCTGGTTGGGAGGCCAACAATCCGGCTCCAGCTCTTGCACTGGCTGGTCAACGTACATGCTTGTAATTTTATGTTTCAGAGACATTTGCATTGGACAAACTTCTTTGATTTAATGCTACCAATTGACAGACAACAACAGAAAGAAACACTCGAAAACCTTTCTGATAAAAAGGCCTATGAATTAAACCGACGGAGCTGTTGTTATGAATATGTTACATCATCCTGCCATTTCCCAAACTGCTGCTTGGCACGAATAACATATCAATGAGATGATGTTTTCTGCATAGAAGGTCGACAAAAACATTAGGCATATTTATGATGGAAAAACCAGAAACTATAAATTAAGAAACACCATCTTTTCATTTATTTCAGCAGAACTGTAGATCAGTGATAGGATGTCATGCAAAACACTCAGTCATACCTCCATAGTTTCTATTCCAACCCACCCCACTTTCCTCTCTTTTCACCTCATTTGCAATTTTTCCCCTCCTTTTATACTTCCTATGACGGTAAACATTGAATCGCTTGTAAAAAGATTGATGGTTGTTTAGCAACATCAAACAAGAAAAGAAAAAGATGCACAAAATGAAAAAACAAATGGGAAGGAGCATATGAAGTATATTGAATTTTCCTAAAAGATTCTCACTAATGGTGAAGAGAACTATTGAATATGTAAGCACATAACGTGGAAGATCCTACATGTACCAACAATCTAGCATGTGTGCCATGGACGTAAGATGGCAACGGAAAAATTTTCTGCCCAAGAGTAAATATAGATCATACTTGGAAAGCTTGACAAGGTGAACAAAGACATGGCTTTAGAGACAAAGGCAGTTCACTTTCATAGCCAACAACTAACATAGTCCGTGCAGAAGATTTTATGAATGAAAAGGTAGGTAGTTTGGGGTAGGCAGGGATAGTGCAAGATAGGTAAAAATTTTCCACCAAAATAGTAAAGGCTAAAACTGAACCCAGAACTTAACTCAGTTAATTCATGCAGCCACTCTTAGCAAGGCTGGGGTTTGAATCCCAGCACTTGCAATCCCTTCCTCTTTCCCTAGGTTGCGGCGTCCTTTGTACCAAAAAATAAAAAAAAGAAAGGGCTAAAAATGATAATAGCTAGAATCCACCTTCAGTTCAAACCACAGAAAATCTTCAGATAAAAATATGATTCATTAATACCTTTCTTAAACATGTATTTTAGCAAACAAAATAGCACAAAGACCAAATATCAGCAAGCAATTAACCTGGAAAAGCTTTATATACGAATTTTAAAGAAAAAAAAGCAGTTTATTCATTGAAAAGACAGAAATCATCATAGATTCATGCAACCAAGCTTTTTCAGTAAAAAAGAGGCAAAAAATTTGCAGAATCTGTTTTCAATCATTCTATGCTAACATAGGAAAGCAAAGCTATTGCCTTTTGAAGTAGGGGATCAAAACAATGGGAAAAAAGAGAAAAAAAAATAGAACTTTCTGAACTTAAGAACAACAAATTTTGCTGCAATAAAACACAAACAAGCAAACATTTCATCATACAGGACCAAGCTATACCTTTTGCAAACTAATATATATTAGGTCAAAGAAGAAAAAAAAAGCAGAAACTTGGCCATAAAATTCAGCCGAAAAAGCTACTTCTTCATCACTTTATCAGCAAAAGGAAGTCATTTCAGACCTGAAATACATCATTTTCATCATATAGAAGAAGCAAAAAATACCCAGAACAAAGCAACAAATTATAAAACAAACTCACTTGAAAAACAAAATCACCAAAAAGAAAAAAAAAAGCTTCAACAAATCATAGAATATAACAAAAACCCTTATCAAATCATACCTTCTTGGATTCCCCTTCCAACCTCAAATTTTTGGTGCTCAGTTTGGCTTCAAAGAACAAAGATGCAAGGAGAATCCAAAGACTAAAACTGCCTAGTACATTGGTCCCCAGCTAGATGGTGTATCAACCTTGCATTTATAAGAAAATTTCATCCACAAATGACATTCTTCAGTCATGAAAATTACATCACTGCCATTGACAAATGACAGAAGTTGTACGATGATAAACTGATAAGCCAATATAAATTAAATAAAAAAATTATGAATAAATAAAAGTCGTTCATACTCATTCTTTAACTAATATGATATATATCAATAAAATATTTTACAATCAATTCATAAATAAATTATTTACTATTTTGAAAGACTTAAAAAACCCTTTCTCAATCAACAAAAATCTGCACCAAACTTATAATATTATTATGGATCATTTGGCCTTATAACTTTGGTGATTAGGTGAGTTAATCAACATTTAATTAAGCAAAATTTTGAAAAAAAAAATTATTCTGGTCTACTGGAATTTTAGCTTAAGAGTCTTCAAGTTGTAGCCACCCCATGCCATAACTGAAAAATCAAAGTCTTTTGTAATTTTCTTTTGAGGTTATGAGTCATATGTACCATGCACTGTACGGCTATCAAAGACTAAATTTTTGAGCTAACAACACCATATTCAATGTTAGAATATTCCCCTTTCTTTAATCATGTAAATTATAGAATGAAATGAATTAAAAAAACACGTGTTAGGTGATGATTTATCATTCATGATTCTAATAATTGTTTATAACATCAAATATTTCATGAAACACGTTTAAAGGATATGAAATTAGTTCTGTAAATTCTTGCTTCAAAGAAAAGTGTTGCAAGCATCGAATTTTCTATGTAAATGTTACTATAATTTCATCTTTTTATTTTTAATTTTTTGAAATTTTAAGGCAAAAGGGTCAAAACATTTTCTGAATTAAAATTCAATTATCATTCAAGTTTTTATTTTTTTTACAATTAATCAAATACTCAAATATCTATTTTTATCAATTGAACTCTTATTAAAAAAATAATTAATTATTTTCATTCAATTGAGGATTTAATCGAGTGAAAATAAATATTTAAAAATTTAATTTGATGAAAATATATGTTTAAAAATTTAATTGAATCAAAATAAAATATATAAGATTTAATTGATTATAATAAAATATCATAAATTTAATTGATTATTGAATTTTTATTTAAAGACTTTTTAAGCTTTTATATCAAATTTTAATTAGATCTGATAATTTTAAATATAATACAATGATACGATAATAAAGAATACAAATAAAAAAATAAAATAGCATGACTTAAAATTTTAACAAAAATTATAAATAAATTTAATAAAACAAAAAAAAATATTTCATGATTTTGTATCTATACGAATTATAACATATAATTTTTATATAAAATATGATATAAATATATAAATTATTAATATTTTATATAATAAAAATACATAAATTACCGTATCTAATTTTAACTATAACAATCATAATTTAAAATAAAAAATTATAAATATTAAAATTTTATATTGATATTCGTTATTAATAGTCTTTGTTAAATAATTCAAGTAAACTTTAAAAAAGGAAAAATCAAAATGACAAAGAAGCTGTAATACGGCAAGGGCATTTTGGTATCAGTGTTGCTTCTTTAAGAGACAGTGTTTGAAAGTTGACTGATGAAAAGAACAGAAAGCCAAAAAAAGAGAGTTGTCAATGGTAAAAGGATAAGATTGCTTTAGCCCCTTCCAACATGCAATGACAAAGGACCCACACGGTTTAAGCCCACTGTAACACAGAGGAACAAACAAAGAAGCTGCTTCCTTCCGTTTCCAACGATTTGTCATATGCCGAAGCCTTCTTTTTGCTACCGTTATTTCATTTTCTTAGGCTTAAGCTTGCCAATCTTATGTTAGACTTGCATTTCTCCGTGTGGGGAACAATGACGAGAAGGCCATGCCCTGTAATCTTCTTACGTAGTCTAATAAGTCCAATGCTGTTTCGTTATCGTTACGTTATGAAAATTCTTTTCCATTATACTTTAAAAAAAAAATTTATGCATGGTGAGAAAAATAAATAATGTTTTATGATTGAACTTCTATAAATCTAATTATAAAACGACACTTGCGACGTAATAAAAATCCTTCCATCATATGCTCAAATAAAACCTGAAACATTTGTATATAAAAAAGTACTTCTCGTTGGAGCTTTAATGCTTTTTCTTGTAGAAGAAACTTGTATTAAAATAATCAGTACTGAGCTCCCTGTTGAAGTTCAAAACCTTAAAATTATAAGAGAAGAAAGTGATGAGGGTAAAGGTGAGAGTGTTTTTTATATTTGTACTTCGACGCTAAAATCAAAAGTTAAGATTAAAAAAATCGAATAAAAGAAAAAATAAAAATGAAGAAAAAGTGAGATTGAATTGATAATATTTTGATAATTTTATTTATAAATAAAAAAAATTTATAATAATGCAGTTAAGCTAACGTGATATTATACATATTAGATTGATTCAAAAGAAAAATTTTTTTTTTTCATTTTCTACTTACAATCTTTAATGATAAAAAAAATAATTTATCTTCTAGATCTAAAAATACTCAGAATACCTAAATTTTAGGAGTGATAGCTTCGAAACATTCCTCGAGTAAAACCCATTCATCCAATCAATTTCTTTTTCATGTGAGGTCCAAAAGTATAAGCTAACTTTGACTACTTATGCAAATGTACAAAGAAAAAAGGGCACCTTCCTCCTTATGTTTTAAATCCTCTTGGAATCTTAAAAAACCAATAATGTATTATACTAAGTCCACAACTAACATAAAAGTAACCTAAAGCATTAGTCTCTATATTGAATAATAATACCACCACAAATGAAATTTGGGGAAGGTGGCAATGTGCAAGTAAATTCTATGCTAATACTTTTCTTTAAAAATAAGTTATTTCTACTATTTTTTTTTTGAAAAATAATCATGTAGGGCACTTTTTTTTTTAATTTTTTCAGTATAAAAAAGATCATAAAGGAAAAATATTTTAAATATTAAGATTTGAATTTTAAATTTTTTAAATATTACATCTGAAGGGTTAATGTTAAAAGAGAAAGACACGTACTAATGACGAATGATTGATTTTATTGGCAAAGAAAATGTATTTTTTTGTATTATTTGGATTCGAATCTTTGGAAGATTGTGAAAATGTAATTATTTATGAATTCACTAAATTCAACATAAATAAATTTACTTGAATCAATCTAAAAAAAAATACTAAATAAAATCCAATTGTTAAAAGAATATGTAATTAATATTATACCTTATTTCTAATGTCATGCAAAAAAAGGCAAAATAGCAGCAACGTATTCAAAATTCCAAATTAGAGGACCACAAAAGTGACGTTGAAAGACAAAACCATTCGGTACGTTCTTATATAGTATCAATCTAAGTTTTATATGCTGAGAACCAAATCGGTTAATAAATGCTATGAAACATGAAAAACATTAGAATGGTTGACTTTGGTTGTTACCCCATGTTTTTGCCGACCAGCAAAGGACCCTACAAAGGAAAGATGAGCCATGTTGTGTTTCAAACCTATTAATTAATTAGCTAATTTTATGTCTTGCCTCTTGTCATGTTAGACAAATTTGGTGTCTTTTATTATCAATTATCAATATAAAATTAAGCCTTTTGGAAAGGCTGCATTAATGGGGAGAAAAACTTGTTGAAGACCTTTCAAATTTGCTCAATATTTCCTCCTAACTAGTCAAAAACAATTACGTAATACATATGGCTTCCAGTTTCAGAGAATTTTCATCAGCACTATGTCCCATTGATGCAATAATTAAAATTTATTTATATGCCCATAAAGGATATGAAAAAAGATATAAAAATGACACAATTTAAATCTTTGACAAAATCGTATATATTAATTTGGCAAAAATTAAAAAAAATTTCGTATTTTACGTATTAATATGAATTGTAACACGATAAATTTTTATATTTGGCATGAAATAAACAATAGACACGGATTGTTATATCGAGTTATAAGGGAAGAGTCGGTTCAATGGTTGATGCGTAATTTTTTAAAGAATAAAATTTGAATTATTTATATGTTGTAATTACCACTTACCAGCATAAGATTAGTGAATTTTTTGGCTTAATATTAGGATATTAATTTTGGGCTAATTGATTTTTCAACATATATGTAAAAATGATAATTCAAGTTCACTTGTTTTTATTATTATTATTATTTTTATCAATTCGGAGCTACATCTTTCAATTTGATTGAAAATGGTTAATATTTAGTAATTATTTTATGAAACAAATAATATATCTTTTGGAAAGACACATACTTTTAAAGTCAATGTTGCAATTTACTATCCTTTATTATGAAAAGGAAATTAATTTCAAGTTCAAATCAAAATATATTTATCAAATCAAATCTGTGAAGGAAATCTTTTTTTTTTTTTTGTGGTGATAATATCAATATCAAAGGAGATTTTATAGCAAGTCAAACCTTTCTGCAATGTCTATACCAAGACAAGAGCAAAAACACAACATCAATGCTTAAATGTATAAAGAAAAACATGTTAAGCTGTTGGATTCTTCCTTTGGTGATTGATTTTCAAAGGACATCATTTGCAAGACTTTTTGGTGCCAATAAAAACAAAGAGGATAAGCAAAAGTTAGGTCCTGATGTTTGATTTTTTTTTTTTTTTTGTTTTGGTTCGAAGTCAAGCATTTAACCATATGAGGAAGTAGACTAATATATGCAACCAAACAAATCAATCACCAAGTGAAGTTGTCAAAGAATTTTGTTAATAATGGATATGGTGAATTATCATGAGGTGTGACACGTCGAAGATTACAAAATCATCCAAATTTTATCATAAAAATAAAAATTTGGGTTTCAAAACTTAATCTAATTAATTCATATTATCATTTTTTAAAATTATCATTTAATAAATTTAAAATTCAAATCCTAATATTCGTAATCCTTTTTATTATTCTAAAGCGAACCTTAAGATGTCGTTGATATGGTAATTAGTATGGTGAAACATGATATAAACCGGCCTTAAACACTTGGACTGCAAGTTAAGATAGTGATAAGGATGAGATGGCTTTGAAATTTTTGTATCAGAAGGGATAAATTTCAAAGGCAAGAAACGAAATGTGCATGATTCAACAGAAAAAAAAGATGACAGATTGAAGGGGAAAGGTAAGCATTATTGGAATAATTTCAGATATTTTATGATAAGACCAGAAATATTGCTAGGGTTCTTTAAACTGAAATTGGAAACTTACTAAAAATGCAGCTTCAAACTCAGCTCAAAAAAAGCCTACGGGCATCTGCAACCTGGTGGCAGTCATTGATTTCCATGAACTGATTCCTTCTAACACAGATTTTGATCTTCATTGTAAAACCACAAGCAAGTTCTGCATATCTTCTCAGATTTTGTAAGCCTCAGGCTTCTCTAATAACGCTGCTCACTCATTCAGGAATTTTAGAACAGGAAAGCAAACATATAGACATATAAGTATATATATAAATATCTATATTATTTTTTTCATACATTTCACTTATTTAAATATTAGAGAATGTTCTAAAATATTATCTTCGATGATTTTAACTTTTTTTTATGACAAATCTGACACGCTCTACAACTCAACTTCCAACGAATTTTCTCTTCTTAAAACAAAAAATTATATCAATAGAACCACAAATAAATAATTGCAAAAAAGCTATTATTATTAGAATTAGTATAATTAGAATTTACAAATTACAATTAAATGTTAAAAAACTATTATTATATATTTGATATTTAAAATATTCTAAAATAACTAATCAAATATTTGATGTGGACGGTACTAAAATTTAAAATTAAAAAAATATACAACACATAGTTTAAAATATAAACTGTATATCTTAAAAAATTAATTTATACCAAATAAGTAATTAAATTTATTAAAAATTGAAAAATGCATGTTATCATTTGTCAAGTCATTCTCTTGCCGCCTTCAGCTGGTTAAGATGACATCATCCAGCGCCGTTGTGTATAACAACCGTTAAACGGCTAAACCCCAGACTAAAAACCCCAGTAAAACCTCAGCTGTCATTGGCAGCCATAGCTGCAAGATAAAGCTTTCTTTCTGTACATAGTCCCTTCTCTTTTGCAGGGTTTTTCTGTATATTCTTTTCTTCTCTTTCTCTTTCTTTTTACCCAAAAATGGCTGCTTTGTCCCTTCACAGTTTCTATCATTTCAGTTCATTTCTCTTCTCTCTTTCTTCTTCTTCCTCTTCTTCTTGGGATTTGAGCAATGGAGGGAGCTTCAAGAAAGGGAAGTTCTTGGTGTTGTTATCAACTCTAATCCCAAAATCTAATAAGAAGTCAAAGGTATGGTCAAAGGACTACTCCTTATGATACTGATGAGGAGGAAGATGGAGAATTTGATGAAGATTATGATGGCATGGCTGGAGATGATTGGTTGATGAATGTAAGTTCAAGATGCATTCTTAATTTGTAATAAAAAGTGTGATTTTCTATATGGAATGAGCATTTTAGGATTGTAGAAAATGACCCATCATTGTTTTTTTCACAGTATTTGCATTGATGTTAAGATAATTGTGACCAGCAAGCATTTTGTGCTATGATCTTTAGTATTTGAACAATAGATCTTGTGTTTGATTAGGATATGGACTTCCTTCTGGTCTTAAATGTGGATGTATTATTTCAGGATGACTTTGCTGAAACCCATGAATATGGCGTTAATGGGAAGGAATTTAAATCACAGAAGGGAAGTGGTAAAGAAGGTACGTGTGTTCATTTTTGTTGATGCCATGAACATGCTTGGGTCCGCCACTGTGAGCTTGTCACAACATTTGACATAGCTTTTGAGGAATTTAAGAAAGAGGATTCATTGTTTTGTGCAGGAAACCAAAGATCACAAGAACAACGCAAGGGCTCGAACGTGTTAGAATCAAGAGAAGGCCTTACGGCTGAACTCTGAAGATCGAATAGATGTCAGAAATGGTAATGATCTTCTAAAGAAGGGTAGTGTAGAAAATTTTTTATCTTACTTCTGACAAAATGAAGGAAGTTGGTGCCTTAGATGGACGAAGGAAGGTAAGATAAGCTGTCGAATTTTGCTATTACCTGTACCAATGGTGTAAAGGAGCTTTATATGTTTTCTTCTATTGCAGCTGGTGTCAAGGACATCCACAAAAACCAGATATCAAAGGCTGTCGGATGAAATTGATTTGGATGAGAAATGGTTCCCTCTTCTTCATTACCTAAGTATTTTTGGGCTTAAAGAATCAAATTTTATCCAAATGCATGAGAGACACATGCCTATTGGACTACTTGTTGAGTGTTGGTGTGAAGCATAGAGACATTAGAAGAATACTTTTGAGACGGCCACAAATTCTGGAATACACATTGGAGAATAGCTTGAAGTCCCATGTGGCTTCCTTAATGAGTCTGGGGATTTCAAATTCCAGAATGGGCCAGATAAGAGCTTCTGCACCTTCTTTTTTTTCGTATAGTGTTGAAAATTCATTAAAACCCACAGTGAGATACTTGATTAAAGAGGTTGTTATTAAAGAAAATGAATTAAGTAAAGTTGTGCAGCTGAGCCCTCAGATTCTAGTTCAACGGATTGACATATCATGGAGCACTCGTCATATGTTTCTCTCAAAGTAGCTAGGAGCACCCAGAGATAGTATAGTGAAGATGGTAAAGAAACATCCCCAGTTTCTTCATTACAGCATTGACGATGGACTGTTGGCCAGGATAAATTTCCCAAGGAGCATGGGGATGTGTAATTCGGATATCCTGAAAGTCTTTGACTAGTCTTACACAGGTTAGTTCACTCCCTTGTAACTTGTAAGTGCATTAAAACACAAAAATTTGTTTCTGTATCTTACATTTTGGATTTGTTTCTAGGTGTTATCTCTGTCTCTGGAGGACAATCTGAAGCCAAAGTACATGTACTTGATCAATTAACTTAATAATGAGGCGCACTCTTTGACTAAATATCCTATGTACTTGAGCTTGTCACTGGATCAACGAATTCGACCCCGCCACCAGTTCCTCGTTTCCCTAAAGAAAGCTCCAGAGGGGCCATTTCCTCTTGGTTCATTGGTTCCAACTGATGAATGCTTTTGCCAGCAGTGGGCTGGAACTAGTTTAGATAAATATTTGGCATTTCGTCAAAGGGTGCTACTCAAGGAGTTTGCAAAGAAATATGATCAGAAATAGTGATAACATTCTTCAAAGGCTTCTTTCACTAATACTAGAATTCTTGTAGCAGATTTGTGTCACACCCAGCAGTCCAATATGTTAGTTCTATGAGGTTTTTCAAAATTGGTGGCAAAATAATGGTAAGAAAAATTGATTTTTCAACCCAACCAATCTTGTGTTGGTTCAATTATTTTCAAGTATTAAAAATATATTGATTGGTTCGATTGTTTTTTAAGAGTGGTAGATTAAATCGGTTTTTGATTTTTCAAAATTGAACTGACCGATTGCTCATGCCTATAATAAAACTAAGGTAAAGCCGGTAACAGTTGACAATTGATACTAGCAGGCCTTATAATAAATACCAGACAAATCAGGTAAAGGATGAAAATAAGAGAATGATCAATGAAAATGATGTATCTATAAGATGAAAGTAGATGAAACCAGAGACAAATGCAGTATAAATTGCTTACATGTTTCTACATTTGGTTAAAGTTATTTCAATCTATTGCTCAGTGTTACAGAGATTCTAAACATAGTTGAAATTCTTTGCACGCTGTTCTATTTCCTGTTCACCTAAAAAGACCTATATTACATCCTCTTCTAAACATCCATAGCCTTCTTCCTATGATTAACATTAAAAAAGTGTAGAACCTTGTTATATTTATATACTTTTAGGTATAATATCTTCTTGTTTTGCCACCACAAATCAAGTAACAGACCGGAGATCAATCCATCCGAATTTCTTTGGATAGTAAGTACTTGCAGGAGTCTTGAAAATAACAAAGGGAAAAGGAAAACGGGCCTGTTTATGTATAAATTTGGAGATGTCACCATTGAACTGGTACTGTAACTAACTCTATTCTGTGTGTTGCAGGGCCTAAATGACTGCAGAAGTGCCGGTAGCTGTAGCAGAAGCAAAGGGGCTATCTGGCAGAGTAAGTCCTTCACTGCAGATACATGAACATATGATGGATAAGATAAAAAAGATTGTGTAGTTTCAGCCTTTCAGGTTCTAAAATATGAGCCATGAATAGATCTGGCAATTTGTTTTGTGTCACCATGTTGTATTTTAAATTGTTGATGCAAAACCTGGAAGCCTACTTTGAAGAATTAAAGGTAGTGGAAAGGGAAACTTTTAAGATAAAAGTAATTTTATACCTCTCCTGGTCATTTTTGTTGGTCTCTACATGCTTGATTTTTTCATCAGATGCAGTGTTGGTTTTGAGAGCTTCCAACAGATAATTGAATTCTGTTGAGGGGAAATTGAGTTGATCTGCATGGTGGAAAAGAAAGCATTGTAAGGGAAAGAATGAAAGAGGAGCCCAGGTTAAAGAATGTACATAAAACAAAAAGGTTCTAGACCTTCTGAGACCTTCAAACCATCCATGGAGTAGCCAAAGAACGACTGATGGACTAGAGGCTTCTGTGTCAAATGCATCTCCGAAGGGCGCCTCCACTCTAGTTGAAAATTTTGATCTGGATCTTCTATAAACTGCTTCCTGAACAACTTTGACGTTGCATATCCTCTTGGAACTAAGAAAATCATACATCAGATTAGTAAGAGCAATGAAATTAAATTGTTACTGAAATATAAAAAGGGCATTGATATGCCTGTTCTAAAATTATTCAGTATAAAAAACCGGGGTTTAGCTCAATTAAGAGGTGATATCCAGTAGGTCTGAGGTTTAAATTCCAGCACTTGAAACACATCCCCCCTATCCCAGGCTGCAGCCACCTTTGTACAAAAAATCAGTATGAATCATCATATTCAACAGACAAAACGATTTGAAGTAGTATCCCCCTTAAGTTTCCATTAAAGAAACCTTGATGGCTTTTGCCAGACCAGAATGATGGCCCCAAGCTGGCATGTGTTAAGTAGCTATGGACCTTAATTCCAATAAAAGAAGTTAAAAAATGAAGCTACTTACTTGAGTGAAGGTCAGGTTCCATATCTATATGGGGTGGAGAATAATACATTGGAGACTCAATTCTGTCCTGGGACTTCCTGCAAGAAAATCAAACATTATAAATGATGATCACTTGCTTGCTGAAAGATTTTGCTATTTTATGATGCAATGCAACATGAAAAACATGAATTGTTTTCATTAAACTTCTCTAAAACTGTCAGAAATGAAGCAAACAAGCTAGAAAAGTCTATAGAATTTGCTGATTTTACACTGAGAATTACAGTGAGTGGTTTGCAATCAATCCAGCACCAACAACCGTGTATAAAAAATATTTAAGAAAGCAAAAAAAAGAAGTCCAGTTAGTGGCAGATCCAGTAGAGGACATCTCGAAATATTAGAAAATTTTTTCCTGGACACCCCTAAATTTTTTCCATGGACACTCTTTAGATCGACAAAATTGGTAAATCAGTCGGTAGTTTTTTATGTATATTATAAGTGGACACCTCAAAAAAAATCCTGAATCCGCCAACTGAGTCCAGCTTCCGAAACAAGTGCTATCAAATACAGGAGTCCAACGCTATAGTAAGACGGAGCTGCAGCATGATTAGGAAACCACAATATTTTAAGAAAAGAACATTGGTTATCATATTCTTCATTCAATTCATGGAGTGGATTTGGTACAGAAATCACTAGAAATGGAAAAGAGGAGCAATTGTATTTACCTGTCAACCAGCTTTGATTTTTCCCTGTAAGGTTTCACAAGAACACGAGCCCCGCAGACATAATGTGGATTTCCTTTAGCCAAAATCATCTTCACGGTATCTGCAGTGACAAATGTTACAAACCCAAACATCCGTTTCTGTTGGCAGGGAATCCTTACACCTCCAACTTGTCCATAATTGCTGCAATTAACAACAAGAAAAATAAGAAACCTTTGGACACTGAATAATATAACTGCAAATAAGCCCGCAAAAAGGCTTCAAGATCATGTTATACCTGAAATAGTTGGATACATCATCTTCACTAAAGGTGCTCTCAGCTGGGAATGTAAGATATATCTGACGCGATCCACTGATAACCGGACCAGGATCATTTCTATCATTTCGATTGTCGATATAATTGGGTGCTTGTTCAGCCAAAATGACAGAATGTTGTCCATGAGGTCTGTGACTTAATCACAGAAGAGTCCATCAGTTGAATCCTCAGGGTTCATCTTTTATCATAATTCATAAATCATACCTGTCTATTACTCGAAAAGTGTCTTTCAATCTAGCGAGAGGCTTTGTCAAACTGTAGCCTGCTTTGCCATGTCTCTGGCTGTCAGTGAGATAACCATCTGCCTGCAGAACTTTGCCATTTTTCTCATAATATAACAATGGGAGAGACGCAATTGGAACAGGATCCCCTCTATTTGTTTTCAGGAGCTCTACTAATTCCAGCTCTAACTTCTCACGTGACATAGCAGGATCTTCATTAACAGCATCCACTGAATTATGGTCAAACATTTGAGGGAAGTTATCCGAGACATGGCCATGGAAGTACTTGCAATTGCTTCCTTGCTTACAGTACCCTTTGTTGAAATAATGACAAGTCTTAACTGGAAATTCAGGCAGGTTTTGATGTCGACGTCCTGTCCTGACACCAAGATTACCCAATGCAGCATCTGAGTAACAATAATCATTTGAAAATCCACCATTTCCCAAGTTCACAGACTCCATTCGATCCTCCAAGCTCAAGAACTGAGTTTGAGTCTGCAGATCAGATACAGAATCCAAGTAAGGCATAAAATCCGAGTTATGCTTGGCAGCTAGTTGTTGCTCCCAGTAGGGAGATGTGATTCTGGGAGACAAAAAAGGCCTGGAGGAGACAGGCGGTGAAAAAGGAGAGAACAGTGAGGGGAATTCTGAACCAGGGGCCGAGTCCGGGGATATAGGTGGTGATCCTGATTTAACAACCAGCCATTGCAGTTCAACCTTGACTTTATAAATTACTTCCTGGATAACAGAATCAGGACACATAGCCAGCTGAACAATCTCCTGGTCACCATGGACTTGCAAAAGCAGATACCCTATAATCTTTGAGACATTTTCAGGTTCAATTTTCTTGATTCTATTGAACAAAATTTGTGTATAGTCAGAAAATTCCATCTTGCATGTATTGTAGTGTATCTGTTTAATCACTGCAGATAAAAATGCAAAAACATATTATCATAACAGACGCGTGAATTGTCAAATCTAAGCTATGGTATCAAACCTACTGATAAAAGTAAAGGACCAAAAGAATGCTTACCTGTAAAGAATTATAGAACAATACTCTAGTAGGTCAAAAGCACAGAATCAATGTCAGGAAAAGTAAAATTTCGGATCCAGTAAACTAGCAGGAAAAACACATAAACATACTCTAAAAATAAACCAAACTAACCAAAAAAATTTAGGTTTTTTGCTTTTCCTTTTCGCGTATTAGTGTTCAAATCTTGATAACCTCAAATATAAAAAAAAAAAAAAACTTAAACATGTTTAAAGAAACCAAATCTGAGTACTACCCATAAAAGGGTTGATAGGAAGTAGGAATGGTAGAAGCCTAGAACATTATCAGAACCAGAAATGGATTTTTTTTTTCTAAATCTGGGAACAAGAAAAGAATGAAAGAAATCACAATTTAAAATAGAAGTATTTTTTACATTCCAAAGAAACCAAACAAGGTAAACAAATAAAATCATAATCACAAAATATTTTTTTCCATAGAGAGAATATATTATTTAATACAAGCAGAGAAAACAGAAATATAAACCAACCTGAAATATTGAGAAATCCAGAGAACTTGAACGTAGTTCCAAGCATAAAAAAAATAATAATAATTAAGAGTCCAAAATTTTCAGAATTCAAAATTAAAAAAACACAACACATTTAAGATAATCTCTCCTAAAAAAAGTAACCCTTTAAAAAACACATGATAAAGATAACTACTCCATAGAAAAACACAGCCGAAGATTCATTAAACTTACCAACCAAAGTATCTGAATTTGAAGTTGCAAAGCTGGTCACTGGCAGCAGAAAGTAGAGTCATAAGAACAACATATGAATTCTCTTTATGTCTCAGTTTCATGTTTTTCTATACATTTTCTTCAACCATACAGGTTTTTCTATACACAAAAACCTGACAGAACAGTTGAACTTCATTTCAAGTACCGCAGCCACTCCATGACTTTATATAAAGAATAATTCACTTTAAATATGAATTTATTTATAATTTTTAGGAATTAAAAAGGATGTTAAATCTTTACAGCTAGATTTTATAAATGAGTTGCAGAGAATTAAGGCAATGTAATTTCCTTGAATTAAATAAGAACCGTTGGATCATCAATAATTAAATAGATCAACGATCCAGAGTGTTGAGGACCATGTAGAAGACATGCACTTTAGTGTATAACATGCAATTTAAGAAAACGAATAAAATCACCGAAAAATAGCCATGCATATTCAATTTCTAGTTCTAATACATTTAATATATATGCGTTAATTTTACATATAAAAAATAATATCCAAACATTTCCCTTTTATAAATTTGAAAGCTGTTTTTTTTCTAATAATAATAATAATAATAATAATTTATTAGTTTTTTCCTTGTTGTTTATTTAATTTTCTTTTTTTTAAAAAAAATGTAGGAAAAGAAGAAAAAAAGAGAGAAAATTATTAACAGTGAGGATAGATTGGTAATTAAAGAAAATGGTGACGTGGATATATATATATATATATTTGAAGAGAGATTTTGTTTTATTTTTTGTAAATAATTAATAATTAATTAAATAAGAAATTAAGATATGATAAGAGAGAAGTGGGCTTTTCTGTTGTAATGATCATAATTCTCCCGATATATTAGCTTATGTCTTTTGACTTTATCATCGTTTAGCTCTTTTTTAAATTAAATAAGAGTTATTATTTGATATATTATTAATGTAAAATTTAATGTTACAAACAAGATTAAAAAATTAAAATATATTTTGTTTTTTTTTTATTTTTTTATTTTTTTAAATATATCTTACAAGATATGTGTCACATTCTTTATTCACTTGTATAATCTAAAAAATCAATTGGCAATGCATGCAATAATTTTTAATTAAATATATATTAGTCAAAATTATAAAATATTATCGAATTAAAATTTAATTCAATGAATTTATACACTTATTCTTAGAAAACTATTTGATATGAAGTATTGAGTTTGAAAACCAATATGGCATTATCTTATTTGATATCAATTTAGGAATTTTGCATGACAATGATATTAAATCATTAGAACGATCAGATTATTGTAACTAAGAGATTAAAATGATCTTTCATGATAACTAAGGGAAATAATAAAATTTTTCATATATGATATACTATAAGTTAGCTCAAGCTATGATATTCTATAGGGATTGAAATGATCTTTTATGATAATTAAAGAATGTTAGCTCAAGCAACTAGAGAGCAATTTGCTTTTCTTTTGGTTGTTTCGAGTTTAAGTTCTTTGACAAAGTTATGAAAAAGTAATTTTTCAAGAATTTGCTAAATTTGACATTAATAAATTTATTTAAATCGATCAAAAAAAATATATCGAATGAAACTTAAAAACCCTTACTACCTAACCAAAAAGAAAAGAAATGAACTTCCATGATACTATAACATTTTTATAGTTAGATGCAATATAGGCTATTATTGCTAAATGAAATATTTAAATATAAAAATAGTCTTATTAAAAAAAATTATAAAGATAGTCTATAAAGTTTGAAAAATACATGCTATCTACATAGAGATCAAGAATAAAACTATAAGATATCTCAAAGTGGTAAATCATTTAAAACACTAATAGATTATTAACTCAATTGGTAAATAGAGTGTGTTCTTCTCTTTATTACTTGGATTTAAATCCGTTGGAATATTATAAGAAGATAATTTTTCATATATTCGTTAGGCTTTGCATAGACAAATATGTTTGAATCAATAAAAAATAAAAAATCTCTTATCTCTAAATAAAAACAATAAAAGAAAATCATTTAAAACCAACCAATACGTCTATTTCTAGCTAGTCAAATTTTAACATGGTTAAGAGCTCTTTTTTCATGCTAAGGTTCCCTTTTTCTTTTGCTTAGTTGCTTCACATGATTTCACCTAATCATTGCAAGCTTTCCAAACAACACATATGGTTCATGTTTGAAAAACAAGGCCAAAAAGGATATGAAAAGCTACCCATTGTTTCCTCCAAATGCATCAAATCTCTCTCTCTCTCTCTCTCTCTCTCTCTCTCTCTCTCTTGTGTCTATGTGTGTGTTGTTTAATTTTGAGCAATTTGATGCCCCAAAATCATTGCTAAAGGGGTAGTTGACCTGAAGAGAAAGTGACCCATTACCATGTTAGGCTTTAAAAATGTTAGTTGATTACTATCCCACACTAGGGCAGACAGGGGTAGTCACAATTAATACAAGCATTGCCTTTTAATTCAACTTGGGTGGTTTGGCTTCAATTGCAAAAGCTTATACAATCAACGGATTGATTTTAGATATGATATAGTGTTACGATATAAATATAATACGAAAATAAAATATGAAAGTGACACGGTTTAAAATTTTAATAATAATTATATGTTTAATAAAATTTATAAAATGTATTTCATATTTTCATATCGATATGAATTTTAATACTTAATTTTTGTGTAAAATATAATACAAATACATAAATTTTGATATTTTACATAATACGAATATATAAATCACCTGGTTTAATTAACTCTTTCTTGGATTTCCCTCAAATTATGATGAAAAGATATATTTCATAGGATTTAATGAAATTCCTATTATATATATTATATATGAGTAAAATCATTGACAAGGGTTAGTTCAATTAGAAGAAAGAGAGCTTTTTTTTTTTTTCAATTAAAGTTTTAAAAAAATTTAGAAAGTAAAAATTTAAATATATTAAATTGATACGAAAAAAATGCGTCTTTAAGATTGCTTAAAAAGAAGATAGGTTTAAACAAAGTTTAAAATATCTTCCATCTGTATCAACAATCAATATATAAATATACAGAGTAAAATTAGTAGTTGGAAATGCCTTTTGTGATCTCGATTAGCAACAAATGTATGTGGTTAATTACAAGATTATGAAGAAATTACATATTTTTTTGGGTACAAATCATAGCAGATATTTAAAGTCAAATATTGAAGTTTATATGTCATATTCTTCTATATATTTATGGTAAACATTTGGAATTGAATTCGAACAAAAGGATGGGGTGGAAAGCAAGGTGATAGGTGGATTCACTTTATAAATTAGGGTGTTTATGAACATTTTTAATAATTAAAAAAAAAAACTTTGAAAAAAAGGTTTCACTGAACACTCTTAAAATTTGTTTATGAACATCCTAAATATTAAAAAATAAAAAATATAAAGGAAATTTCACTAAATTCTCAAAAAAATTTTATGAACATCTTTTTCGTTCACAAAATTAATAAATTTATCGATAAAATTGATAAATCTATCAATAAATTTTTATATATATTATATATGAACACATCCAAAAAAAATATTGGATTTACCATTGCGTAAGGTTAACTATTATCATCCATTCCTAACCTAATCAATTATCGAGACCAATCAAAGAAAAGATTAAGACAATTTGAAATCCGTTTCATGGTCAGTTATATTATGATTGTTGGTGTCTGTCCATCATACTTGGTTCAATGATTAACCTTATATGGTTGGAAAACCATTGACTTTGGCAATGTTTTTGGGTATGTCCAAAATATTAAAATCATAATTAATTCCTCAACAATGGTTTGCATAAACAAGAGAAAACAAAACAATTTTAAG